GAGACCCGGCGGGAGAAGATCCTGGAGGCGCGACACCGAGAGATGCGGCTGAAGGAGAAGGACAAGGCCGAGGGCCGCGACGAGCTGAGGGAGGACGAGGCCGCCCTGAGCCTGGCGGAGCAGGTGGCCAAGGCCGAGGCGGAGTTCTTCGAGGTCATCTTCGCCGAGCTGAAGCGCAAGGAGACAGAGGCCATGAAGAACAAGCTCGTAGGGGCCTGAGCTGGTGCGGGGGGGGGGGCGCGGGAGCCAGGGCCCCTCCCCGGGCCCCGAGAAGTAGCCTCCCTGGCTGGGCCGTCACCCTCCGCCCGGCGGGGACACGCCCTTCCTCCTGGGGCGAGCTCAGACTCTGGGGCCCCACACTGTGCCATCTTCGCCCCTTGAATGCACGTGCCCCAGCTGACGGAGGACCCCAGGACCAAGCGGGGTTCGGACGGGCGGCTGCCTCGAGGGAGGCCCCTGGTGGGGGGGCTCTGCTTACCCAACCTGTGTCAGGGTGTCACTGGAGCTGACCTGGGCTGCCAGGCCCAGCTGTCCTGCCTGGACTGGTCACTTCGCTCCTTGGTCCCTTAATTGTAGGCCAGTGTCCGGCTGTCCTCCAGGCCCTCTTGCCCTGGGGCGAGGAAGTAAAGACACGGCTGGCTGGGTCATCACTGCGCCAGTAGCTGCTGGACACTCACGGGGCACTGGAGGCCGCTGGCCTCGTCTCCTGGCATCGGGCCACGCGGGCCTCGGCCAGCGGGCTGCTTCTGGCCGCGGTGCAGGGGAGGCCTGCCCCCCACCAGTGTCTTGTCTTGGCAGCTGCAGCAGAGCCTGGACACAGAAGAAGAGGCGGAGGGCGATGACGACAGGGATGCAGAGAGGAGAAAGGAGTCCTCCGCCTAGAAGGTCCGCCTCGGCGGCCCCCCACCCTGGCGCACCTCCCTTCCCCAGCGGGTGGTGCTCCCCTCCCTGAAAGAATGACCATGGGGGGAGGCACTGGGGCACAGGGGGGCCTGCCCCCGCCCCCACCGCACAAGTCGCTGGCCCCTTGGCGGGAGGGTGGGCACAGGGCTCCCGCCTGAGCTGGGCACCCCTTGTCTCACACACCCAAACACGATCCCTTTAGGGGAGTCCCCTCAGGGCCCAGGACCTGCCAGCCTGGCCCTGGGCACTCTCTCCCATCTGGCTTCTCAACACCTTCCCTGCAGTCATTCACCTGGACAAGCCCGGGGAACACCTGCGGGTGCAGGAAAGGGGGTTCCCTTTCTCGGGAGAGAGCTCCCCCTTGGCACAGGCACAGGAAGGGAGAGTCTGTGCATTTTAAACGCCTTTGCCAGCAGCCCCGGGGTGGGGCGTTTACCTGTGTAGGGTGAGAGTCAGAGATAAATGATTGTGGGTGTCTGCTGCCCGGTTGGGGAGGGGTTGGTGAGGGGGGGGTCCTATTACCTCAACTCTTGTAAAATTAAATTGACACCGACAGTGTAAACAGTCCGCGCTTATCACGGGGCCTGCACCAAGCGCTTGCCCGCGCCGCTCTGATGCTTTCAAGAAGCCCCTGGCAGCTTTGTCCTCTGGTTTCCTGCCCCAGGGAGGAAGAGGCAGGTTCCGAGAGGTGTGGGCGCCGGCCGGGTCTCGGGGCACGGGTCCAGCTCCCTGGCCGCCTCTCCTGAGCCCTCTGCCGTCAGCTTGGGGCCGCGCGGGCCGGGCCCCCGATCCAGGGCCCGCAGCTGCTGGGAACCACCCAGGCCGTGCAGCGATGCCCCCAGAGACGCCCGTGGGGCGGAGGCCCCCCGGGGAGCCCGACCCCCGTCTGTCTGTGGAGGGGCCACCCAAACTGTCCTCTTTTGGGAGGACCGGGCCAGCCTCCCTGTGTGGGGGAGGGGAGGCGGGGGGTCAAGTTGCCCAGCCAAGACCTTGATGAAACGTCACGTCACGCAGGGTCACATTTATTGAGTGCTGATGTTGCGGTAGCTCCGAAGGACTGATGTCACCATCTCCGGTCCCCGAGCCGCCTGCCTGGGTCTCCTGGGCGCGAGCGCTGGCACCAGGCCCCCGCCAGCCCCCGCCAGGCCCCGCCAGGCCCCGCCAGGCCCCGCCAGGCTCCCGCCAGCCCCCGCCAGGCCCCGCCAGGCCCCGCCAGGCTCCCGCCAGCCCCCGCCAGGCCCCGCCAGGCCCCGCCAGGCTCCCGCCAGCCCCCGCCAGGCCCCGCCAGGCCCCGCCACACACACTGCAGGCTGCGGCCTCCCAGAGCAGCGTGGCCCTGCCAGCACTGCCATCTGGGCAGAGGGCACCCACACCGCGCACACCCCGCTCTCCTGGGTCGGCGCCTCCTTGTGTGGGGGGATTGGAGCCGAGCTGCCACGGGGGGTGACTGTGTCCCCTCCGGGACATTCGGCAACACTGAGGGGCATTCTGGATCGACTCACCTGGTCAGAGCCGCCACTGGCAGCCAGGGACATGGCTACTGGCCAGGGGCGGGGAGCACCGCAGCGGCTGGACAGGCCCCACCTTGAAGAAGGCCCCAGGCCCAGTGCGGCTCGCGGAGGCAGAAACCAGGGAGAAGCCGCCCACAGACGTGTCCCAGGAGACGCACAGCCCCTCTGCCTGCGTGGGCGCCTGCCGGCCGCTGCCCCAGTGGGCGCCCGCACGCCCTGGGAGAGGAGAGCCGCAGGCAGGGCTGGGCGCCGGCCGTGAGCCTGGGAGCTGTGCTCGTGGCCCAGCCTCGCCTAGCCCGTTGCTCCGGGCCCCCACGGGGCAAACCAGCGTGTCACGGGAGCCGGAGGCCACGGAGACACCAGCCCCGTGGGTGTGGGTGGGTCCCTGGGGCCTGCGCGGGGTCACATCCAAGCAGGGTGGGGACGTGGTGGGGGCCACGACGAGGCCCCCCGGGGGCCTACAGCAGGCTCAGGGCCCCCCTCGCCCCCCACCCCGCCCAGGCGCACCTGCTCCCAACCAACCGGCCCCTGGGCCCCGCTGATGGACTCAGAGCCCCACCTGAGGACGCAGCCGCTTGCAGCTGGGGGCCTAGGCAGCCCGAGGCCCACATCCCCGCAGCGCCTGGGCAGGGCTGTAGGGGAGACCCTCCCCCGCCCCGCCCCAGGCTCCTCTCTGGCTCCCAGACCAGAGGCAGGGCCAGCCCCCGCCCGGTGCTCAGCCTGCAAGATGGGCGCGGGGGGGGGGGGGGGGGGGGGGGGGGGGGGGCGGGCGCAGCGTCGGCTCCGGGACAGCCACTCTGAGGCCCGCACCCTGCTCAGCGGGCGTCTGGGCCGCCTGTGCTCACACTGCAGGGGGCAGCCAGCGGGCCAGGCCCCCACGCCCGCTCTCCCAGGCTTGGGGGCGAGGCCGGGGGCTGACAAGCACCCAGATGACTACAGGGCGACACTTACAGGGGAGTAGGCACACGCGCATGCCAGGGGTGGTAGGAGGAGCCCACGCCCGGCCCCCAGGAGCCCGCGGGGGGACCCCACGGCTCTTGCCGAGTCGGGCTGAGGGCCACCGAGGAATCGGCCAGCAAGGAGCGGCCCTTTACTGAGCAAGGGGGCTGTGGACTGTCGCTCCTCAGTGAGCTCAGAAAAGGGACGATGGAGGTGATGTGAAGCAGCAGTCAGACAAGGAGATGGGCGAGGCGGGACAAAGGGGGGGTAGGGGGCAGCCGAGCACAGCGGCTGGCCAGCGCTGGGCAGGGGAGGGCGGTGCCTCGCCTGTGGGGGGGCCGGGCCCAGCTGGGGGTGGGGTGGGGGTGTGGCTGGGCCTCTGCAGCTGAGGTGGGGCCGGCCAGGAGCGGATGAGGGAAGGAGGGAGTGAAGTGAGGCCTGGGGCTGTGGGCCTGTGCCGGTCACAAAAGCCAAAGGCAGAGACAGCCCGAGGCCATGGGGGTGACGCTGGGAGTCGCGGCCTCCTGCCTAGAAAGTTCTCTCATTTGCCACCACGGGCTTTGCTTGGCGGGGTTCTGCACATAGAAGAATAGAAAAGAAAAACTAAGAATCCTATAAGCAGGTCTTCCATGCAGGGGTCTGAAAGACAAGAGGGAGGGAGGGAGAGAGGGAGGGAGGAAGGGAGGGAGGGAGTGCACTTTTTATTTTTTCCTATCAGAAAGCCACATCTTCAAGCCTACCTGATGCTTTTGCAGAGGGAGGCCCACTTGCAGACAGGCCAGCCCCGGGGTGCAGCCCCCAGGGCGTCTGGCCAGGGCGAGGAGGAGCTGGGTCCCCAGCAGGCGAGTCAGCTCCGCCAAACTGCTGTTGGTTTAACAGTTATCAAAGCCACGGCCAGGGCAGGGCGCTTCCTCCTCTATTAATAGCCACACCCAGGGCAAGCTCCTGGGGCCCAGGGAAGCCAGTCCCTGGACACAGGCTGGCAGCATGCTGTGCCGGTGGCCGCGTGCCAGGCTGTCTGAGACGCCCCGGGAGCTCGGCTTCCTTACCCAGAGCCTGCCAGGCACCTACACTGGGCTTCCCTCCCCCATCTGCAGGGAGCTCCTGGGCCCCTGCTAACTGCAGGGTGTGCGCCCATGGGCAGGAGACGAAAGAGATGGGTCGTCAGATGCTGGAGAACTCCACTGGCACCCAGAAACTGAGGGCCACGGGGCGGGGGCCGGAAAAACTGGCAGCAGGTGGCCTGGCAAGCTGGATGCTGTGCTGGGACCAGAATCCTGTTTTCCCGGGGCCTCCTGGGAAATCTCTCCATCGCGCTCCCTGCAGTGTAGCGGCGCTGTGGTCGCCTGGCACGGAGGCTGCAGTGCCACCGGCGCTTTCTGGCACAGGAAGGTGGCTCTTCTGCCGGAGCGGGGCCTGGGGCACACAGGCGGGCCCACCTGGCCCTAGAGTGTGGGTTCACCCAGAGGGCCTCGGGCTGGGGGGTCC